TTAGAATTTGACTGAGGTACTTCCAGCCTGAGAAAGGGAACGATTTATCAATGCAAACTTAATAACATCTATTTGAATCTAACTAAAAATCAATATTTCATTACCAAATTGTTAGTGAGAATGAAGAAAAATTGCGGAAGTCGGGCAGTTTGGTGGAAGAGAAGCATCAGGAGTTCAATGTGAAGACGGAATGATTCATGAGGCCAACGCGGTGGAAGGGTGAAGGAGGACGAATGCAGAAAACTTGGAGGGCCCTCTCTCTTGTGACCTTGGCAGTGAGAGGAAAAAAAAAATACAAGAAAATGAAAGTGACTGTCAACTCCCAACAGGGATGGATCACACCATAAATCAAGCATAGCCCTGAGAGAGAATAGGGGCTTAGGGTGGGGGGTTAGCATTGAGAGGGAAACTCTTGGTTAATTTAACTCTTTGAACCTTGGATGCCTTTTATTTGTACTTTAGAGGAGTTCATAAAACATATGTGAATCTCTTCCCTTTGAAACAGTTTACATAAAAATATGTCAGCAGGAGATAAATGGTGCAACATTGCTTTCCATTGGCTAAGATTTAAAGTACAGTACCAATAAGCATTTCCTTCAGTCTCGGAAAAGAGACAAACGAGAGACTGAGGCTTCCCTGACACATAACTAAATCAGTTTGTTGGGAGACCTAATCCAGAAGAGGCTTTTTTGATGATTTTCAGGGGAAAAAAAAATAGATTTAAGGACATTAGTATTTCTATTACTGAAATAATGTATTGATCTAAAAAGAAAGCCATAACCACTTATTTAACCTAAACTACAAATGAACTGATAAGGGTGGGGTGTGTGTGGGGGTGGGGGTTGTTTGTCTGTTGGGGGGGAGTTAAAGCCTTTAATGCTTTTTTTTGTTTTAGTTTAGTTTAATTTTAAATCTATTCTTTGACCACATCTTCCACTGTAAGGAATTTGTTGACTAACATGGAGGAATTCATAACTCTCCTTTAATAAGAGATGAAGGCGAATTGGAATCACACCTTCTATTACATATCCACAGTAAATTAAAACTTAGTATCCTGAGTACTTCATTTGTTGAACTGTAACGTGTAGCACCTAGTATTTTTCCCGTAGACATCTTTTATTGTCCCTCCCTCACTCCTAATTGAGCCCTTTTTTTCCTCCTCCTTCTCACCTGTCAGTAGGAAGAATTTGTTTTACTTTGTGGGCCAAATTAGTGCATATCCATTTTGGTGTCCTGGCCTGAAAAGCAATCACCTTTCATTTTCAGCTGGGATGCCTGAAAATGGCATGTCTATTCCATGGGACTTTAAATTTGAACAGATGTCTTAATAGATATGCAATGGTCTAATCTAGCTTGGGGAAAGCACACCTTCTATATCAGCGTGTCTATAAAAGGCTCACTCAAGTACAGTTCTGGTACAGATTGCTGGCAGCATGGACCAAGATCCTTTACATTAAACCTTTGGGTTCCCCCCCGCCCCCGCCTCAGATGCTAAAGGATAAAGACCACATTTTGTTCTATATAAATACTAAGGAAAATATCTTTGAAGTACATTACTCAAGCTCTTTCAAGCAAGTACTTATTATGGTGCTAGTGGATGTGTTCAGCCTAAGTTTTGTGGAAATTATTTTCAAAAAGCCTGCAAATTGGGGTTGTATTTTCAAAAGAACAGGAGCCACTGGACCACGGCTATCAGTGTCATAGTGGAAGGTCCCAGGTTCTGAACTCTCTTGAAAATCTGGCTGTGTTTGCTTTGACAAAAAAAGCGGAGACATAAGCAATCCACAAGGGTCCCCTCAAAGCAGCTGTATAGCTGTGGGTGTGCTGAACAGCAGTGCTACCATGAGAAATACTTCCAAGAATGCTGTCATGTTCACCAATCAGCAGTTTTCCGTAGCAGTATCTCCCTCAGTAATCTTATCTTTTATTAGTGGAGGAATTGCTTGTTTGCTTGGCAGAGATGAACCTGGAGATGAAAGTTGGTATTTTATTAACATGTTGGAGGCAAATATGTGGCACCAGAGTGGTTCAGAAAATGGAGAAAATACCACTAACAAACAATCTTTTGCACGCTCTGGAGTTTGCTAGTGTTCCTCCTATTATTTGTTTCCAAATGTATGACTCATCTCAAGCCTTGCATGAAAATTTGCAGGCCTAATCAAGGTCAGAAGATCACTAAAAAAAATGGGAACAGGAAGAGGCCATCAGGACCCATATTTTTGTTCCTTCCCCCCACCCCCCTCCTGCCTTAATGCTGGAACCTGGCTCTAATTGCCCTTTATTTTTTATTGCTTTCACTATGTTTCACATGTAATGTTTATATTAATGGGGGGGAAAAGTGAAGAAACCCCAGGAAATGGAGTGCAATTGGAGTATGTGAGATGTGGCTTTTGTCTCCTTTATCACCATTTTCTTGCAGTACTTCCAGCACAGATATTAATTTATTGTTGAGAGTGCTGCAGAACTGTGGTCCCTTGTATTTTATGGAAGGTTTGATCTAAATTCCAGATGGTCACCATGTGATCAGCCCAGCCACGGGCAAATAGGATATTTCTTTGTGTCTAAATCTGATTTCTTTGCCAAATCCATACCTATCTAATCTCTGCCCAAAAGCCTGCATTCCCTCAGTTTTTTTAAAGAAGTGTATAACAACTCTGCACCCTTATTGTACATAGACAATGAGGATGATTGCAAACACTCACCATTTAAATGCTGTTTAAAATGAAGGCTCTTTTTTGCATACAAATAATGGTTATTCAGATCACAAGATGGCTCTCTAAAGTTCAAAGCAGAAACAGAGTTTTTCTCTTAGAAGAATGAAATGCTTGCCGTTTGTATAAGGTGGGGTGTCAGTATATAGATGCCATTCTGCTTTAAGAAGTAAATGCTTTGATTTTGTGTGTGAGAAACTGTGAAACATTGCTCTTAAAAAGCTACTGAGCAAAGGCCTTGTAGAATCTCTGTTTCAGCACAAGGTTTTAATGTATAGAGATGGGAGACTGTATATATGGAGAATGCCCTTCCTCCTCCCTCCCCACTCCCCACTCCCCAGGCAAATTTTAGATTATACCAAAATTCTGCATTCTGAAGTGCAACAGTAGGCGCAACAATATGAAAACTTTCTTAATCGTGATATGATTAAAGGATTTTAAAAAGCTGCCTGGTAGTCGCATTTACATTTCCTGATAAATTCCTAATTTTCTTTCAAATCACTTCTTAATAATGTGAACTGTAAAAAATCCTTCCATTTCTGCAATGTGATAAAAAAAAAAACCTGGGGAGTGGGGGGAGGAATTCAGAAGGCTCTATGTTTTATCATTCTGTTCATAAAGTGCTACAGCACCATAACTGCAGCAGAGAAAAGAAACAGATACTGTAGTGTCTGAGGTATTCTGTGCCATAAACTCCCATAATAGAAACAGATGGTAAAAACGCCTTGGAAGTAAAGAAACTACTGTACATGCAGCTCTACCCTAACATATGAAGAGATTCAGACCTGACACATAAAGGAATACATTTGGAGTAATGCCAGCACTACTCTCTAATTCAGTGGTCGGTATTAAAGATGAGGACCCAAAATTTAGAGATTTGAACACTTTGGAACTTCATCATTTTTCATCATTAGTTATTTCTGATGATTCAATGACATGGGGGTGGGGGAACATTTTGTGGGGAACACTCCTACATACTTTGTATGAGCCTCAACTATATTAGAACGTCCTACAGATAGAGTTTGCCCCGTGCTCATTTCCTTCTTGCTGTTAGGTAGTTATCATAATATCTAATGCGAGCTAAACAGAGCTTTGTGGCAACTATCACACCTACAGTGGAACTGGCAAAACTATTTTATTCATCTTTGAAACCTAGCTAAAGAAATGTCACTTAATTCAGCTGGCATTGTTTCACTGGTTTTGCCATGAGTGAAAGGAAATATAATGTGTGCATTGCACTGGAGGGGGAGCTGAAGGTCAGGAGTGAAATATAGCTTTCTGCAGCACTTGGTCTCAGTCTGAATGTTACCTACATTATCATCAGAGCTCACTGTCATCATGGAGAGACCTTGTCACAGGAGGGAGGTCACCTAGAAGCTGGAAGAAAAATTGGGGGAAAAATACTAAGTAAGATAGACTAAAAAGAAGACCAATAGGGTCCCCAACTTCCTTTGTGTGCAGGTGAGGACAGTACATTATCTGCAAAAGATTTTCTTGTCCTCCAAAAGCTCTGAAATTCCAGAGATGTCCTGGCTTTAAGGTGTTGGTCTTCTAACTTTTTATTATTTAGTTATCAGTGTTTTTCCGCTAGTGAATCTGCCTTTGATCCTTGTGCTCCCTGCATAGCTTGGACTTATTAGCTCCAATTGCATTTCAGATGAGTGGCTTTCTGATATTAAAGGCTTTCTTGTGGGGTGGGGGGGGAGAGGGGTTTATCAGATTGCTGCGCTATCTGGCACCTTGAATCCTGCTTTGGAGCTTTGACTGGCTGTGGCACAAAGGTTGGTTACTGCAGATAAGCTGCGTCTTTGTTGTGACTACTTTTTTTTGCCCATGTGATTGCATGTTGTTCCTTGAAAACCCTTGAAATTTTAAGACTTTCAAAACTCAGGGTTATCTTTCCATTTTGTGACTAAAACATCTCTCTAATTATTGAAGGGAATGGATTAAAAAAATAACAGAAAAGTGAAACACTAAACATTATGCAAACAGTAAAGAGCCAATAGGGCAATTACCAACCCATTATTTGCATGGAGAACCTTTCATCTAAGGATCTCAGAGAGCCTGAAGAACATTAACAAATTCATGAGGAATATGTTGCCACAAACAAATATTTCATTGGTCCTTTCAGAAACTAGTCAAATCTTATGAGCCCTTCTGTGGAAGTGTTTATGCAATTTTGTGATGGGGAAGCCTGTGCTTTAAAAGAGTAATTATAGAGATCAGATAAGCACAGCTTTTCTCTGTTGAAAATCAGTTCCAGTTGGTATTATTAATGCCCCTCCATCACCAGCCTACTCAGTTCAGCCAGCAGTCTGTCTTTTGATGTAGCGGCACATTTATACTGGGGAGCTAAAGGTGCTTATATACATGCCGGGGAATGAAGGGGGATTTTAATTAGAGCCATTCCCAGAGAGCCACTCTAATTAAAATGCTGCAGCTTCATGTTTATTGAGCCCCTGTGCATTTAAAAATGATTGTGGGATGCTTTAACTAAAGGTCATTTGACTAGCTTTAGTTCAAGCACCCCAGTGGCCATTTTTAAACCCACAGGGGCTTATACATGTGATGCTGTGGCAATGCTAGGGCGTTCTAATTAGAACACGTTGGAGCAATTGCATAGGCACCCTAACTTCTTGGAGGAGGACATTGTGGACAATGTCATCTCTGCACTGAGATTCACAACAAACCCAAAATGGACTTTTGAACATACATTTATAAAAACCTTACACTTGGCCACATGCAGGAAGAAAGCATGGTTCTTGTTTTACCTCAAGAGTCCAAGACTCATAAGACCCTTTTTCCACTCTATGGCCCCTTTTAATTTCTGACTGAGACCTGCACTGAACCAGGGTGGGTGAGGTTTCAGGTTTTATAATGAAAGTTTTCATCACCTTAGAGTTAAGTTGCTTTTGTACTTTCCAGATATCAGATGTTTGATGGTTCACAAGCATATGGTTAACAGGCAGCTATGCAAACTGTAAGTAGCTGTTCCATTGGACCTACTTTTGGGAGTAATTGAAGGTGATCTCAGCTGAGAGTAAGCAAAGTGAGGTAAATACTTGAAAACCCTTTTGCCAAAATCTTACTTCTCCCTTATATCTATGCTGCAAAATAGCCTTTTCTCCCATCCTGTTTTCTTTTGTGTTTGATTGGCTTTTGTGTGTGTTTGATTTGTTGCATTTTCTAAGTAGAGGAAAGAGAGCGGTATACCATATCAGTGTACTAAAAATAGCAGTAGCAGAAGCATTTTACCTTGTTTCTATATCTATTCTGAAAGATGATAAAAAAAAAAACATGCAGCATTTGCTCTATTTGGATTAACCTACGGTTTCACTGGTGCCACTATTGTACTTCAAGTTCTGGGTGATTCCTACGCTAAGAGTGCAGAAAGTGAAAAGATTTTACAGGTCCCTGTTCATCCCTGCATTAATTCAGAGATCAGGACTGGAGAATATATTTGTGGCATACCCTAACTTAGGTCCAGGTGTCCAGGGCCCCTTTGGGTATAGGTAATGAATTGTTGGGGTGATTAATTGCTCTGCTGCCTGCACCTACCACATGCTCCAGAAGGTATCTATCCTGTTTGGGGTTGGTTGCAGTATTACATGGTGGCTTCTTGTGTCTGAGGTTTGTCACAGGTAGAAAGTAGTGGCTTCTGGCACTGGTTCAATGAAGCCATAACTACAAGTAGTCCTGCTACATGGACAATGTTAAGAACTGTATGGAGAAATACTACCCTCGCTTCATTTTGTATAAAAAGCAGATGAGATTCCTAGATCTTTGGTTTATGCCTAAAATAACAAAAGTTGCTGTTTTACAATAAAAGCAACTACTATAAACCTTTGCTCTGAGTATGATTCATGTATGTGCCTTAATTAGCATGTGGTTACAACATTTGAGTGCATATTGTCTTTTAGAAGGTCTATATAAAAACATCCTATATAAAAACATTTGAAATATGCAGCCAGGTACCTCTATCAACAGCCTCTTGCATAAAGTGTATTCTTTCCTATGGTTTTTGGCATTATGATACTTTAAACTCCTACACTATTGTTTCTGTCTTTTATGAAGAACTTACACAAAAATAAGATTGGAAATATCCCATTTCATTATTTTAGTTCATCAAATAGGTTTTATATGTATATTGATCATTTTAACTGAATTCTGAAGTCTTCATAAACTGAGAAATATAACATTTCATTACACAATCACAGCTAATTATTTTAGAAATACAGTTTAAATGCAAGTTATCTTAAATTTATTGCTTATCTGACTGAGAAGATCTAAGCAAAACCTGAAAATCATAAACCCTTCCAGAACATTATATTTTATGCAGTCCAAAATGTGACACATGGGGTCTTTAATAATTCACTGCTTGTTAACATTAAACAACTGTTAACATGCTCAAATAATTAGTTATGCTTGCTTGACATGTTTGCATCTTTAATAATTGATGCATTTATCTTAATTACTAACAGTATTATGGTCGTAATATGCATCTTTTTTCTATCTTAAAATTTTAACAAAAACTGACTTTTTGCCAAAAATGATTATCCTCTAAGTTTTAATTACTCGTTGTAATTAAATTGCAAGCTGCAGTATTTTATTAAAAATATCTTTCACAAAAATATTTAATGGAAAAGAGGTGATTTGTTGTTTATGCATCACAGTTAGTAAATATTTCATAAGTTTCATATTACCCTTTCATAGTGAATATAAAAAACATAACATTCTTAATACAAGAGTCAATTTAAAAGCTGCTATAGCAGTCCTCAATTCTTCCCCCAAAGGTTTGCAGAAGTCAATGAGTAAAGTAAGATAAAACAAAACAACAAAAAATCATAGTGATTGCATGATGGAAACGCACAATAACTGGAACCCAAGTTCTAGTAATTAGCAGCGACCATGGCTGAGAGTGCAGTGGAGCCTTGAAAGGAGTTTATTTGACCTGAAATGAAGATGAATATTAAAAACTATTTCATTTTTCAATATTCTTTCCAGTCAACATCACTCTTGCATGCTGCTAATGACAGCAGTAGTGGTAGAGCTTTGCCTGTAATCAATTATGTATTTATTAAAATCCTGGTAGAGACAGGGTAAGACTTAATTGAAGAATGTCAGACAGTTTCAGGGAGGCTGTGTTTTTGAGATATGTCTTTCACATTGTTAAGATGGGCTATTTTGATGAGAATTACTTCCCTTAGTTCTTCTTCTTATGAAGACTATGCTGATAGCTGCCCTTCATTTTCTTTTGTAAAGTGCCTCACTGTTTCATCCCACCACTTTCTAAATGGCTAAATATATGAAGCACCAAAACGGGAATGGGTGAAAAATGGTATAGTTGCAAGGCCTGTGAATGTGAAAATAGGGGCAGATATGAGTGCCAAATGTAAATCATCATTGGGTTCAGGGTTAGTCACTGAATCTGCCAACCCCAGAAGTTTTCATTGTGCTTAATTAGTTTGGAGACAGAGCTCTACAGAAGAGCAGCTTGAGATCTGCTGGAGAAGAATACAACACTGGGTTGTAATGTTCCTGGGAGTCCTGGGCGGTGTATGTTGCCTGCTTTCTCAAACATGTTTATTGAAGACAGCCAAGTAGCTCCTTCATGATTCTTGAATATTGTAACATATAAACAAAAAGACAAACCCCCCCTATTTTGACCAAGAATGACTGTGCTACCCAATTCCTCCGATTGCTACTCAGTCACTACAGCCCTAGAATCTGGGGCATATATAGCTTAAGGTGAAGAATTGAACAGGCTGAGAGGAGTGAGTAGATTAAGAGTAATATATTGCTTCCAGAAGCAAAATTTTTGTGGGTCATAACTTTTATTGGACCAGCTACATATTTCCTGGATTATCATGGGTACATCACTCCAGTATTTCTTGCAGTATATTCCTAAGAACACCCAGCAATTGCTTAAAAACATGGAGGAAAACACATGGGAAATAACAGACTTGTTATATATCTGTGATTAGGGTCTCCTCATTGGTTATTTTTAGACATGTTTAAACAGCTGAAAACTCTTACCTAAAAGACCATGAAAAAGAAACATCCCATTCTGCCTCTCTCTCTATTACCTTAATGTCCTCCCAATTCATTTCAATGAGTGTGTGGGGATATTAGATCTGAGAAGTAGTTATTTAAGTATCTGTGCACCTCTGAATGCTTGAGTTGCTGCTTATTTCTAGTGCTGTACTAGTCAGGTTTACTTATCTCTCTTGGAGATAGGTCAAATTGTACAGCTGAGACATGGATCCAAAACTACTTTGAAGTTTAAGAGTGCTTAGATTCAGAGATTTGATTCAATCTTTTGTCTACTTTTTATGTATATCTTTCCATGAAAAGTATACTAGCCACATGCCTGGTCATCCTAACCCCTGCAGATGCACCTTACCTGCCCTCTGATACTTTTAGAAGCTTTTCATGCTTGCAGAGCCTTCATGTCTCCAGTCTCCAGAAAAGCTCTTTCTGTTATGGTTCTAGAGTTAATAAAAATGTACACATTGCCAGCCTATAAATCAATCTTTTCTAATATATAGGTGTGCCTTCAGATTTCAGAAAAGTGCAATTAAAAAAAAGGTCTTGTCTAGACAGGTTTGGGCCCTAGCTAGGATGGTTGTGAAAGTGAACACTAAAGAGGAGTCCCAGCACAGTAGTGCTTAGCTGCAGGATGTTCATATTTTTCTCAACTGTACTAGTATGAGGTGTAGAATTCAGTCCACTTTGGAAGCAAGGGATGGAGTGTGTGGCGGGCCAGTAGGGGGTGCTCCTGCACTGAGCCACCCACCTCACTGTGTCCAACCACCTTTAAGGCTCCGAGTGCCTCCCTGGGGGCACCTCATATCTAGGCGACCCCCTTCCTGGAGCACACCCGCTAGCCTGGGGGTAATGTGACCACCACCCAGGGTCTGGACTGATCCTGGCTCTGTGCCCCCTGGGAAATGCAGGCCTAGTAGACCTTGGGGGTACTTGACCCACTTCAAGAACTTGGAGTGCTTCCCTTAGTCTGAAGCACAAATAGTGGTCTCCCTTAGTCAGCCAAACCAAGGGGACCCCAAGGCATAATCTAGCCCCTCTTGCAATAAGTCTTCCATGCTAGGTACAAAGGAGAATTTTATTGGTTACAAGGAGTAGGTTTGGAATAGGGTACAGGGTAGAGTAAGATCAAAGAAATCACATAGAGCAAACAGGGTGGCTGGAGTAGCCTTTGATCATGTATCTGAGTTACTGCAAGCTATATATCTAGTTAGATCTCATGTAGCTTACTCACGAGTATCATCCAGAGGCAGGTAGAGATTCCCTCTGGAGGCAGGCAGTTCATTAATCATGAGTTTCAAGAGAGAGCAAGTTTCAGATGATCCAGCTTCTCTCTAAGTTTTCATCATGGCTACTGCTCCTCCTCCTGGGCAGTACTTAACTTATATAGACCTTATGACCTCATTTACCTGGTCCAATGGAGGCCAGCACTTGGCTGCCAGCCAACCAATTTGAAATGCATCACTGGTTGCCAGGTAGACTGGCATTGCTTAGAGCAATAGGGAGCCTGTGGCAGTGAGAAGCCCCCACAGGCACCAGGGGGCTGGGGGTAACCCCAAGTGCCCCTGCAGTAAACAAACAGGCCCCCACATCCTGGGAGACTTACCTTTGGGAGTGGGACCTAGGACAGTGCTGGAGCCATGGCCACAGCTGCAGCCGTGCAAGCTGACATTTCGCCAGCTCTTCAAATGGCTGATCCATGAGTGGGGTGGCACCCAGCTGATTGCAGCAGCTGATGCCACCACTGTGGGAAATTTAAAAGCCCCACCAGAAACTGGCAGGAGCAGAAGGTGGGGAGGAAGAGTGAGCCAGCAAGAAGCACGCAGGTCAGGCAGCCCCAGCGGCTCCAAAGGCTGGTGAGGGCAGCAGAGCAGACACTGCCCCATTACTGAGGCAGAAGGGGCATGTCAGGCATTAGGCTGGGGACAGACCATCCCCAGTCCAGCAACCTTAGAATTTATTGTGAGCATCCCTCTCCCAAGGAGGGGGAGGAAGGATGCTGAGAAACCCAGGAGTGCAGTCCTTTAGGATCAGGGACTGCGGCTCTAGTAATGATAACATCTAGGTGACCAACCGGTTGCCTGAAGCAGATGCCAGACCTCCTCCATAATAATCACAGAGATCAGTGGAGCAACCGGCAGAACATCTGAACAGTTGGCAAGTGGACAGGGTGTAGGGAAGGCGGAGCCCCGAAGAACACCATGGCACAAATGTGAGTACCTCCATCACCAGGTCACCCGAGAAGAGGAACACCACTGAACCCCTCCTTTCATCCAGTAACAACAAGTTGTGGCAGGTGAGTTGAGGGGTGCTCTGGTTAAGTGGGGGGGCGGTACGGTATGCTACTCACAGTGTCCACCAGAGATTCCACAGAGCCTAAGCCCCCTACTTAGGTATATGATGCCAGTCACGTAGGCAGAGGGAGCAAGCTTCCGCCTTTCTCAGGAATGTATCCAACTCAGGTTACAACTAAGGGTTAGCTAAAGAGATGGGATGTCTGCCCTCTGCAGAGACCATGTTAACTAACCTGGTGCATAGCAGAGTTTTTGGGGAGAGACAGAGGTGGCATTCTGCCACAGGTTGCGTTTTGGTTTTTTTTCCATATATTTTTATAGTATGTTAGGGTGAGGAAATTGTCTGGCATTAGACTATAGCTCAGTGAATTTAATGAACAGATTATGGCAAACTAATTTGAAGACAAGATTGAACTTGAAGAAAAGGATAGCATGTAGAAATACAAGCTTGAACTATCTGCTTTGTTTTATCTTATTCTGGGTTTCTACTTTTGTAAGATATTCATTTTATTGGAGTTCTTTTTCAATTTTAGGTCACCATTTTGGAGCTTTTACTTTGCTTATAAGAACATGAGAAAATCAGGTTGAATGCTGCTGTCAGACTGATAGTAATCCTTTCAGAGTGCAGTTCGATACCATCTACTTTTCAGCAACATCCATAATTTGCTCAGAATTTTTAATTTCAAAACATGCAGATTGTTGTTTCTACATTAAAACATTCCAAAGTAGGGTGGCATGAAAGAGTATGGGTATGGAAAGGTCTCTTGATTGTTCTTTAGAATGATAACTTTCATTTAAAATATATATACTGTATCCCATGCACTGAGCAAGGTATGACTCTTTTAGGAAAATATATTGTCATTAAGGACAGTATCACAAGGCAAAAAGAAATGGACACTAGATTCTGGAATTTTCTTGAATGCCAGACTTTACAACCTATATAGCAATTCAAATTTAGCTTGCATACATAACTTACTTCTTTAAAGGAAAGGACTAACACCATTCTTTTTGTCTAGATTTGTGACCACGCACCCAGCAAGTTTCAAGAGCAGAGTCTGAACCTTGAACCTCAATATTGAATTTTGCCACATCAGCTTAAAAGGCTATTCATGTTAGATGTAATAGAAGAATTTGAGTGTTGTTGAACTGATGGTCCAGGAAATATGCAAGAGGTAAGGTGACGGGAAGCAGGGAGGAGTTGTTGATATCTTTTATGGGCTTCTAGATCCAGCACCAGTGTCTGCTGCTGCTTATTCAGCGATGTAGGCCCATCCTTTTTGAATATTCACATTCTGTTGTTATTTTGACATGCTGCCATTTCCCCCCTGAGGAATGCAAGCAAGAAAAGGATAATGGTGGCTTTCTATCTACTGCAAAAAGACCTTAAAGACAAAAAGGTCACAGAGAACCCTTTCTTCTGAAAATGTGTAAGTGTAGGTGAATGGGGCATGAAGGACTGCTAGGGGTTGGGGAAGAGAGAAGGTGTATAAATTAAGATGTGCAGGCCTTTAACAACCCATGCTGAAGCTATAAGAGGGACATAGTGGGGCTTAACTTAAAAAATAGGAAACACTGGCTGGAGCAATATACTTTCCTTCCCATGAACTGTATTATTTGCAAAATATGCAGATGATTTTTACAGTATTTTCAATAGGAACATGTTGGTGTTTATTGCCCAGAATATTTCAACTGTGAAGTAAATTCTCTCTACCTTGCTTAGGATTTCAACATTTGTAAGTCGCTGCTCACTCCTGGAGTATCTTTAATGGCTCATATTAATTCAAGGTGTCCCTTTATGCACTTAAAAAAAACCCTTCCTTTTAATGACATTTCCATTTATTCAGAATTATTATTTAAAATCCTAAATTAGCATTCTGCACTTGGATTCTGACAGAGCCATTACATTTTATACTGAAAGGGTTTAGTTAATTTAAAATTATTAAACCCCATTGGCTGCATGATGGGAGCATCTTTAAGCAAATTTCTATATTTCAGGTGTATGCTAACAGTATGCAAGTGCAAACTGGATTAGGATCCATTTGCCTTTGTTGCTTACATTCTTATATATGGCAAAGTTGTTATTCTAGGTTTCACCTGCTGTCCTGAAGTAGCTGAAACTAAATAACAGATGAACATGCTAGCAGCAATATAAATAACAACCTGTCCTCTGTCTGTCCCAAGGTGCACAGATGATGTTGCTTTTCAAACTAAAGCCAGTGAAACTGACATAAGTAATTACGAGTATTCTTCTGCTTTTTTTTTAGATCAAGCTGCAATAAAAGAAAGAATATGAAAACTTATGTCGCAAATTGTGTGCTGTCAACTATTTCCGTTTATTCTGAATATAAAAAAAAATGCAACTAAGCCATTCAGAAGAATTATTTCACTTTGGTCTGTATTTGCTTCTTTCATATGTTTTCTTTCACAGGTTTTGGATAAGGCCCCGATTTCAATTCCTGCTTGCCTAAATCATCCAGTGACATTTGCGCCATTGAGTTTTAAATGGTTTTAAATAATATTTATCCTACAGAATAACTGATATCTTCCTTGGTAGTCCCAGGAAGTAGATTTCATCTACTTCACATAGATTAAATCCAATGTTATATCTTTAAGAACCAGAGAGCTAAAAAGACTCTGAAATTACAACGTGCCTGAGATCTTGTGACCCCAGGAACAAGAGGGAAATGGAAAATGTTATAACAAACAGCGTGGTTAAAATGTAGTGTAACTAGTAAAGTAACTTTTGTCTTAGAACTGTGAAATCACGCTTGTAGTGTGGTGTGGATATCTAACAATCAGCAGCATCTAGAGCAGTTTAGTTGCTGTGACTTCAGGTGAAATTTGCCACAAGCAACAGATCCGGTTCTAATTATTTTTCTGAATCTGCCAACAACCATGATCATTTACATGCATTACTAATTCGCTTATCTCCTGAAACTTGAGCTGCACAGTTTGTGTTTTACAGATTCATCAAATGAAACAATTGGGCTAATATCACCTTAATTAAATTAAGTTTAATTTTAAATTACTTGCTAGAGCACCTAACAAATATAACATCTTCAAGATGTTTTAGCAGATAGATATGCCTTTGTTGTACAGACTTGTCAATGTAGCAAGAAAACATCTTGTTATCATGAAAGGCCCCTTAGTGTTTTAAAAGAGAATATCTTGTTTATATACTAATGTTTGCATTGATTGTCATTTGGGGATGAAGAAAAGCTATCCCAGTGCTGCTTGCGGTGCTGGTATAATTTTAGTGCTCAAAAATACAAAATAAAAAATATTTTTCTAAAGACAGAATCCTTCATATATATTCAGCCTTGGTAGTCCCTTGACCACACATGGGGGTATATATCCATTTTCACAAGAAAGTGCACGCTGAATCTAATTAACAACATGATCTGTAGCTCATTGAAGTCAATAGAAAAATTCCCATTGCCTTGACTTTGGGATGAAATACAGTAGGATGTTAAACCTTGTCATTGTGATAATATAAAAATCAGACTAATGTGAAAGGCAGCATGCTGTCAAACACAGTGTTCGTAAGATATAGGGATATCATTTGTAGCTGTTCTGGTCTAAGGGTACAGGCAGACAAAACTCTTGGGGCAGAGGCGATATCTTTTATTGGACCAACTAAATTGTTGCAAAAAAATTTTTTCTTTGCAAGCTTTCAGGCCCACATGCCCTTCATCAGGCAAAGGAGAATTCAAAGACTGCAAAATTTTTCCCAAGTAGAAAAGAAACTTCATCTTGCAAAGGGGAAATCAGAGATGTCAGGGTGCTACCTAAGTGGAAAGGCCAATGTGTAAATAGCTGCTCTGTGAGAATGCAAATTAAAAGCAGACAAAGGCTGAAGCAGACCAGTCAGGTTACCTGAAGGTGTCAGATGGCAGGCAGGGTGTTCAATTTGACTTCTTTATTGTTCAGTTGTGAATTCTGCATTTCAAAGCAGCAAAACACAATATGTTTCATTTTTCAGGGATATTGGTTGTAGCCATGTTGGTCTAAGGGTACAGGCAGACAAAACTCTTGGGGTAGAGGCAATATCTTTTATTAGACCAACTAAATAGTTGCAATTTTTTTTCTTTGCAAGCTTTCAGGTCCACACACCCTTCGTTAGGCAAAGGAAATGGTGTTTCCAATGCACCCATGAATCTGCTGGTCAACATGTGAAGAAAGACATTTACTAACATTTAAAATCTTTGGTGTCTGGGTGTTTATTACCTGACCAAGTCCCATTGTTAGTAAACGCTGAATGTTTCAAAAGCAATCACTGAATATTTATCAAAATATTTAGATACAAGTAAGCACATAAGAATGTATAAGATGCCAGTTCAATGCAGGCCAGTTTACAGGTGTTGTCAATGAGAGTGAGAGAGAAAGGAAGTGCAAAACGAGTGGGTTCAAATTATAGAAATTCTATTTGCATCATACCTATACATAATATGAATATTAAGGAACACATGAATATTCAACATGTGTTTAATATGTATTTGTACCTGGAATTTTGTCACTGACCCTTTAACTTTCTCTGCTAAAGCCAGTGTTCAAAGGATTATGCAGTTTTTGCTGCAAAACTTTTACATTTATCTGCTGTAAAATAGGCTGAATGGCACCAAAGAGTGTCGTGTTTAGTTTTAAAATGCCACAAATAACAGATTTATAGATTTTTCTAAATACATTATTTTAGCTTGACAGCATTAATCATTCATGCTTCCTTCTTTCATTTTTCTACCTGCAATGGATTATTGAAACAGAAAATAACAACGGGAAAGGCTACAAGCAGTATCAAAATGTCAAGTTTGTACTTACAGTTGTATGTGCGTAGACAGGGTCAAGAGCCTCAATTATTTGTATATGTACACAGTGGTACTACATGAAAGGTTATGTCACCTGCAGCTATTTTCTTGCAGATTTAAATAGGACTGATATTCAACTCCACAGTCAGCCACTGACATGGAACATAGAATTGTAAAATACTATGAACTCTCATGTCAGGACCTAAAATATGAACTGGGTGATTGCAAGGTGTAGCTGTGGGCAATCCTATGTATTGCAGTGTAAGTCCTTTAAATTACTTTGTGTTATCCCTGACCTGTTCTTTTCATTTAAGCATAAGCCAGGAACAACACGGAAGTAGTTTTCAGAGAAAAAGCAATACTTCTTATTTTTCAAATCTTGTTTTTTTAAGTAATGCTGCTTTGTCTTTCTGTGACCACTAAGTGTACAGGTATGATGATTAGAAAACACTTAAGAGCATGTCTTGCCTTGTGCCAAAGGTGACACAACAGAATTATTTGGAAGAGTAGGAGCTGATCAATATATTTTCCACTGATGGTTTCTTTCTTTGTGTTATCTTTTAAAATGTGCTTTGAGATTATATGATAGAATTCCTAATGGGTAAAACTCAGTGCTGTGCAGATGGTCAATGTTAGGCCTAGGCATCAACAAGTCTCATTTTGATGGCTTAAGCCAGGGCTGTCCAATTTCTAAATCCACAGAGACCACGCCAGTGGCAGCTACATCCTGTGCAGGAAGCACCAGGTGAGTCAAGAGCCAGTGGGCCACACTGCACACTCCCCTTCTCCACCCCAATGCTGCTCTGTGCGCCTGTGCAGGCATGTCCTCCCCACAACCTGCTTCACTGTGCAGATGAGATTCCCACCCTCCCACTGCAGTGTGTGCCTTTTGCGGATACCCACCCCGCACCTCACTGCTGCACTGGGTGCTCCCCTCCACTGCTGCCCCATTCAGCTGTGATCTCCCTCCCCAGGCAGTCCCATTTGCCCCCCACACACATGACCTGGGTTCCCCTTCAGCTCTGCCCTGTGCTGCACTACCCCTCCCGGTGGGCAAGGGCAGAGAGTAGCAGCTGGAGGAGGGAGAGAGGATCCTGGAAACTCGCCCTACAGTTGCACCAAGAGTGACTGGGGGAGTTGCAACCAAATGAGAGCCCAGGGGCTGCAACTTAACCCCTTGCAGGCCACATGTGGCCCACAGGCTGCCTGTTGGAGAGCCCTGGTATAAGTAGTATATAGACCTAATACTAGTGTCTACACAAGGCAAAAAAGACTGATTTAATTCTCACT